CCGTTTGAGGGGAGGAAATTCATTTCTTTGGTATTTATGTATGTTATGTCCATTTGGGTAAACCTTTGTGATTTAAAGAGGCACACAGGCAAATTGAGCACAACAGGTTGTATGTTGTTGTCCTTAGAACACATTCCCATATTTTCTACTCCAATGTTTTCTTCCTCGTGTGTATCAGTTTCAATTCCTCATGGGTTTACCCCCTCAATGGCTTCAACTTCATGATAAAACAAAAGGCCAAGGGGTGTCTTATAGCATGGAGTCATATTTTGCCAAATTCCCTCAATAAAATGCAAAAGAAAATAAAAAACAGAGGTGGTATGCTCTCTGCTAATCCCTCAAAGCAAGGATGATGCTTACTTAATTTTAAAAATCCATTTACAGGATGAAGGCATCATTGGCTCAATCAGCATTTATTGCCCCAAGGACAATTAAGAGTCAATCATATTACCGTGGGTCTGGAGTAACACATAGGCCAAACCAACTGAGGACAGCAGATTTCCTTCCCTAAGGGGATTAGTGAACCAGGTGAGTTTTCCCCCAGCAAGTCTCCTGTGGGCGGCATGGTGGCTCAGTGGTTAGCACTGCAGCCTCACAGTGCCAGAGATCCAGGTTTGATGCCACCCTCGGGTGACTGTCTATGTGGAGTTTGCACATTCTCCCGCGTCTGTGTGCATTTCCTCTGGGTGCTCCAGTTTCCTCCCACAATCCAAAAATGTGCAGATTAGGTGGATTGGCCATGCTAAATTGCCCATAGTATTCAGGGGTGTGTGGGTTACAGGGTAGGAAAATGGGTCTGGGTGGAATGCTCTTTGGAGGGGCAGTGCAGGCTTGTTGGGCTGATTCCACACTGTAGGGATTCTATGATTAATTGGTAATATTTTCATGGTCATCATTAGACTATTAATTCCAGATTTTTAATTGAGTTCCAGTTTAACTGTCTGCCCATGTGGAATTTGAAGCCAAGTCCCCAAAGCATTAGCTAGGTCTCTGGATTAACAGGCAAGTGATAATACCACTAAACCATTCCCTCCCCTTGCTTTTGATGAGGACCTACACATGGAGTTTCTTTTTAACACGGGGAGGCTGCTTTGTTGCAGTTCTGATTCACACTGTTCTCTCTGAGCAGGAAACTGTCTTATTTTAATCAACTGCTGTAGATGTATCAGAAATGGTTGCAGAACATTCTGAAAGGGGAGGGTGAACAGCCAGAAGTCATTGTGCACATCGGTACAAATGACATAGGTAGACAAAGAGGTGGCGTTGTGCGAAATGAGTATAGGGAGTTAGGTAAGAAGTTAAAAAGCAGGACCCCAAGGGTAGTGATCTCCACATTACTCCCAGTGCCACGCGCCAATGAGGATAGAAATAGAAAGTTAAGCTAAATTAATGCATGGCAGAGTTAGCACTGCAGCCTCACAGCACCAGGGACACGGGTTCAATTCCACCCTCGGGCAACAGTCTGTGTGGAGTTTGCACATTCTCCCCGTGTCTGCGTGGGTTTCCTCTGGGTGCCGGGTTTCCTCCCACAATCCAAAGATTGGCAGGTTAGGGTGGATTGGCCATACTAAATTGCCCATGGTGTTCAGGGATGTGTAGATTAGGTGGGATATAGGGGAATAGGTCTGGGTGGGAAGCTATGAGTGTCGGTGAGGACTTGTTGGACTGAAGGGCCTGTTTCCACACTGTAGAGATTCTATGATTCTATGAACTGGTGAAGGGGGCAGAGTTTTCAGTTGTTAGATCATTGGTATCTCTTCTAGGGTAGAGGTGACCTGTACAAGAGGGACAGATTGCATTTGACCGGAGCAGGTCCAATATCCTTGCAGAGAGATTTGCTAGTGTTACCTGGGAGGGGTTAAACTAGTTTGGCAGAGGCATGGGACTCTGAATAAGAGAGGGGCCATCGAGAAGTCAGGGGGAAATGCATCAGCCATCGAGAGCAAGTTTACTATTCAGGTTAGCCAGGGGCACAGTAAAGGGAGGGAAAAGACTTCTGGTTTAAAGTGCGCTTATTTCAACACACGAGGCCTGACAGGTAAGGCAGATGAGCTCAGAGAACATAAGATCATAAGAGCTAGGAACAGGAGTAGGCCATCTGGCCCCTCGAGCCTGCCCCACCATTCAATAAGATCATGGCTGATCTTTTTGGGACTCAGTTCCACTTACCCACCCGCTCACCATAACCCTTAATTCCTTTGCTGTTCAAAAATTTATCTAGCCTTGCCTTAAACACATTCGGTGAGGTAGCTTCAACCGCTTAACTGGGCAGGGAATTCCACAGATTCACAACCCTTTGGATGAAGAAGTTCCTCCTGACCTCAGTCCTACATCTGTTTCCCTTCATTTTGAGGCTATGCCCCCTAGTCCTAGTTTCACCTGCGAGTGGAAACAACCTCCCTGCCTCCACCTTATCTATTCCCTTCATAATCTTATATGTTGCTATAAGATCTCCCCTCATTCTTCTGAATTTCAATGAGTATAATCCTAGCCTACTCAGTCTGTCCTCATAATCCAACCCTCTCAACTCTGGAATCAACTGAGTGAATCTCCTCTGCACCCCCTCCAGTACTAGTATATCCCTTCTCAAGTCAGGAGACCAAAACTGCACACAGTTTTCCTGCATGGACTAGCTCTTGGAACTAGGGTATTATAGCCATAACAAGAACATGGCTGAGAGAAGTGCAGGACTGGCAGCTCAATATTCCTGGATACAGAAGCTACAGGCATGACAGAAGTACAAGTAAGTGAGGAGGGGGAGTTGCCCTTTTGATAAGGGAGGACATAACAACAGTGCTTAGAGAGGATATTCTTAAGGGGTCATCAAAAGAGGCCATACGATTAGAACGTAGAAACAAGGAGGGGGTGGTCACTCTGTTGGGATTGTATTATAGATCCCCAAATAGCCAAAGGGTACTAGAGGAGCAGAAGTGTAGAGAGATCGCAGATACCTATAGGAATAATAGAGTAGTATTGGTTGGAGATTTTAATTTCCTCTGTATTGACTTGGACACCCAGAGTAAAAGGCCTGGACGGGGTGGAATTTGTCAAATGTGTCCAAGAAAGTTTCTTAAATTAATAAGTAGAGGGCCCCAGTCAGGAGAGTGCAACACTGGACCCCCTCAGAGGAAATGAGGTCGGGCAAGTGACCGAAGTGTCAGTCAGAGAGCACTTTGGCTCCAATGACCATAACTCTCTTAATTTTAACATAGTTATGGAAAAAGATAGGACAGGCCCACAGGTTAAGGTGCCAAACTGAAGCAGAGCCAATTTTGGAGCCATTAGGCAAGATCTAGCAGCGGTTGATTGGGTGAGTCTGTTTGAAGGAAAGGAATGACTGGCGAATAGGAGGCTTTTAAAAGTGTGACATCAAGCGCCATGGACAGTATATCCTGTTGGGGTGAAGGGATCCCCCGGCTGACGAGGGATAGTGAGGCTCTGGTCAGGAAAAAGAAGAAGTCATACATTGGGTTTAAGCTATTAGACTCAAGTGAATCCCTAGATGACTATAAAATGTGTAGGAGCACACTTAAGAGCGATATCAGAAGAGCAAAGAAAGGGTATTAGATGGATCTGGCAGATACGGTTAAAGATAATCTCATGATGTTCTATAGCTATATTAAGAGAAAAAGTGTGGCTAGGGAGAGAATAGGTCCCCTTGCAAAAATCTCTCCAAGGGCCTCTGCAATTTCTTCCCTAGCATCCCACAACATCCGAGGATAGGCTTGATTAGGCCCAGGGTATTTATCCACTTTAATGCGATCTAAGGCGATAGGAATCTGGTGATATGTGCACAGTCCAAAACATCCCCACTTGTTTCCCTTATTTCTTTAGCATCCACAATTCTCTCCTCAGTGTTTACTGAGGAGAATTATTCATTAAAAATCTCCCCCACCTCTTGTGGCTTCACACATAGATGGCCATGCTTCAGAAAATCTTCTGAAGAGGGGTCCAGACCCGAAACGTCAGCTTTCCTGCTCCTCTGATGCTGTCTGGCCTGCTGTGTTCATCCAGCTCCACACCTTGTTATTTCAGACTCCAGTATCGGCAGTTCTACTATCCTTGGGAGGCCTTGGGTTTTTTAACTGAATGGGTATGTCAAGCTTGTCTCAGATCCAGATTTCTGGATTCTGGTTTTTTACAGTAGCATGAGAAGCTATTGGGGTCTCAACAGAGTTGGAAGCTTCAGTGAATTTCTCCTGGCTGCTACTCTCTCCGAATTTTCTCTTGATGCTTTTTTCCTCCTGAATTGGAGAACTGCATGTGAGAACCTGTGTCTGAATTTTCCATTTTTGCCAAGGGGTATGTTAATGGAATGTTACTATATTGGCATTAATTAATAATTGTTACTGTTTCTATTATTCTGTTAAGTTTCAAATAGAGTTATTATTCAAATTTCTTCTTTCTTTGTTTGTATTTTAACTATAGTGTTTAAATAAATTGTGTTTTGATTAATGTCATGTAGTTTGACTAGTTGCATTGTATCTGGAATAGACAATTTAAGTTTGCCTTTAAAATAAGAAAAAGTTAGCCTACACCTTATCTTCTTAAAATATTTTGAGGGGGTCTGGTCTGGTCTGGTCCATTACAGCAAACAGAACTCTATTTAGAGTCAGAGATAGTAGGAACTGCATATGCTGGAGAATCAGAGATAACAAGGTGTAGAGCTGGATGAACACAGCAGGCCAAGCAGCATCAGACCCTTAGGGTCTAGGCCCGAAACGTCAGCCTTCCTGCTCCTCTGATGCTGCTTGGCCTGCTGTGTTCATCCAGCTCTACACTTTGTTATCTCTATTTAGAGTCCCTCAGATAAAGACAGAATTACTCCTCCAGCAAGATGCAGTGGGTGGAGAATCTTTACCTCATTATGCACCATAAGTTAGTCTGAGTTATTTACAAATGCAGAAATGTTTCAACAGGAAACTTACGTAATGAATTGCATTCTTGCCAAGATTTACATTGTTAATGAAATATATATTGTTACACAGGGTTGGCCAATGGAATGCTTATCAGTCTTTAATAGAATTAGCAACAGACATACAGCAGATTGCCCAATCTGATTCTTCAAATATAGGCCAACCACGCAGTGTACACCACACCCAACTGCAATTGGAGAATGTATCATTGCTTCAAGTTTCACTGTGACATAACTGAAAAGTCTTTCTGATCAGAGGCAGAGCCTGATTGCAGGAACACCGCTAACTAACAGGTCAGACATGCCTGTTCCTGCAATAAGGCAGATCAACACATTTCCGGGCTGGCATCTTGTCACTACGGAACTTGGCGAGCTGGCGGCTGAAGTCAGTCCAATGGCAGTTGTGCAGGTAAATGGGCTGATCATGACTCTCCTCTTACAAACCATCCAATTCCCATTTCTGTCGACTTTCATGCTGACTAGCCGTTCATCCATTTAGTGTCAATTCAAGCCACTCCCCACTTGATTATTCTTTCCCATGATGTGGGCATGGCTGGCAAGGCCAATATTTGTTACCCATCCCTCTTGCTAAGGCTATTTCAGAGGGCAGTTAAGAGTCAACCCCATTGCTGACAGTCTGGAGTCACACGTAGGCCAGACCAGGTAAGGACTGACGATTTCCTTCCCTAGCAAACCCAATGGGATTACAACAATTCATTATATGAACGGTGACCATGAAACTAAGACCAGCATTTCATGCCAACTTTATTCGCTGAATTTAAGTTCATTTGAACAGGATTTGAACCTGCATCTGCAGAACATTAAATGAAACTCTGGGTTACTAATTACCACCATCTCCCCTTCATTCATGGGATGTAATTCTCATTAGAAATGCATCTGGTGCTTTTCCCCTTGTCATCTTGCCAAACTTAAAATAATTTTTGAATGAAGGCAAAATACCGTGGATGCTAGAAATCTGAAGCAACAACCTTCCTGCACACTGACCCTTGTGTGTATTAGTTGCTAACTCCAATGAGTTCCCCCTCCCATCTTCCTAACTGGGTAAATGTCACTCTCCATCTCTGCTAAGACAGAGAGGCAGCTGGAGGGTGTTTAAAAGTCAACTAAGAAATTGGTTTAGAGATGAGCAAAGTGCTTTAAATTACATGGAGAATCACCACAAGTGATGGTTGTGTGTACAGGAACCCAGGATGTCAATGAATGATGACTGAGAGGCACACCCTGCTATTGTGAGCTGTACTGTCTCGGAACAGATTAAATAAACAAAGAAAGATTCTCAAGTCATATGGGTTTGAGTACTCCGGTGATGAAGCAGATATCTCTGAATAGACGCTGGCTGGGTCGAAGGTGCTTAAACACCTTGTTGGTCAGATTAAATAAATTGGATTGGAGACTGTTCCCAGTCAGAAAGAGCTCGCTTAAGGGCCAAATGGTCTTTCCTTTCCCTGAGCTGGCCTTGTCCTTTGGGAATTAAAAGAAAAGAACACAGGGTCCATTTGATAGTCCAACAACATTACAGCTAAAGAAAGGAACAGCGCTGGTAGACAATACTGGTACAAGATGTAGTTAGTTTGGAGACACATGAGGATATATTTCCAGTGACAGGGCTGACAGTACCAGATGACACAGGTTTACAATCAGTGAGCGGGATGTTTGTTGAGTTGTTGTGATGTGGACTGAAAAGGTGGTGGATGCAGACTCCGCACCGGTTTTCAAAGGGAATTGGGTAAACATCTGAAAAGGAGAAATTTTCGAGGCTGTGGGGAAGTGTTGTGGGGATTAGTTCCAAAGATCTGACACAGGCATTATGGGTTGACAGGCCTTCTGCTGTGCAATGTCATTCTGTGATTCTCATCCGGCTCCAAAATGCACCATCCTCACTTCATGCAATCAGTGTTGTCCAGTGACACAACTGCATGATACTCTGATTGTCTCATTACATTAAATATTACCACCACGTAAAGGTAAATTTGTAGAGGAATTCGCAAGGTCGAACAAGGAACCCTTTCCCTATCTCATGAGGCCTGTAGGTGGCACTGTAGCCTTTGCTTTCGATGTCCAGTTTGATGCAGTACAGTAGGTCAGAGATGGACGGAGATGCTTTCCAGGGCCCAAACCTCACAACCGACTCCTTGTCCATGTCCAGGCCGTTCACAGCCTCATGGCATTTGACCGCGTCCTCCTCGTTTCTGACCACGCACACCGTTACGGTGGACTGACGAGAGGCCACAGCCTCTGCCCTGGCCACCCGCACCATCACCTCAATGTTTTCCTGGTAATTTGGCACCCTGGCCAGGAACTGCCTCCGGCCCACCATCTCGCCGAAGATCTTGGGCGAGTCTTCCAGCAGCTTGACCAGGGGCTCGATGCCGTAGTACAAGGCTTCCTGGTAGACTACCTCGGCCAGGCTGGGTGGGGGCTCTTGACCCCGGAGGAAGTCCAGCACATATTTGAAGTGAGTCCCATCCCGGTCGATGAAGTACCTCCCTTCTGAGTCCATCTTGGGTCTGGACTGACCACTAAACATCTCGGCCAGCTTGGACTTCGGATACTTGAGTAGAGTTCCAAGCGCGGTGGAGTAGATGTGACCTCCAACATTCAGACTGATCACTGACAAAGCCTAGAGAAACAATGCAAGAAGAATGAACTGGGAGAAGTAAAATCGTACCTTTCTGCAATCTCAGTCAATACCCCCCAACACTCGTCATTCATCCTGATTCATCGATCTCAAAGCTATTCCTCAGGAGTGCCTGTGAACTCAAAACATTGACAGTAAACAAATTCAAACTGGTGGATTGTAAATTCAATGAATAAATCTGGAATATCACAGCTTTCCAAATTATAAATGACAAAGGAGGCAAGCATGGCATTAATGAAATTAATTTGAATTTTAAAACTAAAATTTCATTCGTTCAGGAAATGAATCACTGGCTGAGCCAACACTCATTGCCCATGCCTAATTGCCAGAGGGCAGTGTGGGGTCAACCACGTCACTGTGAGTCTGGAGTCATGTGTAGGCCAGAGACACTAAGGATGGCAGATTTCTAGCCCTGAAGGGCATTAGATGGACTTTTGTGTAAGGTTAGCTTTTTAGTTGGATTTAAGGTTTTGGAGTAGATCTGTAGCTCGGGTTGTGGGTGTTGAGGTTGGTTGGCTCGCCGAGCTGGTTTGTTGTTCCGCAGATGTTTCGTTACTGTGCTTGGTAACATCCTCAGTGTAGCCTCCGATGAAGCGCCGGTGTGTTTTCCCGCCTGGTTTTTAAACTCTCAACTTTTTAAATTGAATTTGATTACCTGTCAGTGGGATTTGATCTTGTGTCCCCAGGATATTACCCTGGGACTCTGGATTACTACTGCAGTGACATTACCAGTACACCAGTCTTTTTATTGATGACCTTTTAAGACTGCAATACTTTCATTGTGTTAACATTGGAGACTTTCTGGAAATGCTTGCTGCCTGAGTCATTCTGAGGCACAGCCCAAACATTCCATTTCCATTTGGAAATGACAATTATTTGTTGTTCAAACATTGTTGAGCTGACCAACACAAGCCTACATGCATTCCAATGCTTGAGCAATACGAAATATTGTTACAGCAACATGGGAACAGGCGTTGGCTATTCAGCCCCTTGAGACTGTTTCATGTCACTAAGTGATGACTGCAACACCTTCTGACTCTATCTACTTACCTTGGTAGATGGATCTGTCAATTTTCAATCAATCTTGCCTCAACACATTTTTGTTTGGAGGCAAGCGTTCTAGGGTTCCGCTGCCAGATTGTTGATAACAGACTAGCAAGTTGAAGGTTGTGAATTCAAATGGGAAGAGGTGAAATTGAGTTCAGTGAATCGGGTAGTTTGAAGAATATTGTGAAAAACCGGCCTTCAAGGATACATCTAACTGTAGCCTCGTTAAGCCTGATCCTGGACGTTAACTAATTCTCTCAGTGACCAGAGGCTCAGTAGATCACGAGGGACTGAGGAACTAATCTGGTGAAGGACCCAACATGCAGGAGGGACCTCCTTGATGTCAGCCATACCAGCCTGTCTGTTACAGACACATGCCACTGATAAAAATGACCACTATCCATTAGACCATGTCTAGCATGCACACTGAGGACACAGGCGAGGAAACTCATGTCTTGTGGTGTTACCACTGCACTAGGAATTGAACAGTAATACCACAGTCTGTGAGGTGGTGGCAAAATGGTAATGTTGCTGGACTATAATCCAGAGACATGGAATCAAATCCCACCACAGCAGCTGGTAGAGTTTAAATTCAGTTAATACATCTGGAATCAAAAGTTAGCAGGGCAGCATGGTGGCTCAGTGGTTAGCACTGCTGCCAGAGACATAGGTTTGATTCCACCCTTGGTAACTGTCTATGTGGAGTTTACACATTCTCGCTGTGTCAGCTTGGGTTTCCTCCGGGTGCTCCAGTTTCCTCCCACAGTCCAAAGATGTGCAGGTTAGGTGGATTCTAAATTGCCCATAGTATCCAGGGATGTACAGGCTAGGTGGATTGGCCATGGGTAATGCAGGGTTACTGCGATAGAGTAGGGGTTGCAGGTCTGTGTGGGATGCTCTTTGGAGCGTCAGTGTGGACTCAATGGGCTGAATGGCCTGCTTCCATACTGTAGGAATTCTATTGCTAATGAGCATGGAATTATCAGTCTTTGTGAAACACGTGTGGTTCACTAGTGCCCTTTAAGGAAGGAAATCTGCTGTCTTTACCTGGTCTGGCCTAAATGCAAGTATTAACTTGATGAAATTGTTGAGCAAGTCACTCAGTTCTAGTGCAATTAGGGGTGGACCACCAAATACTGGTTCAACTGGTGATGCCCACATCCCATGGGGAAAAGAAATACAACGCTCCTCAATCACTAGCAAACTCAGTGAATGCAGTGGGAGTATGCCCTTCAATAAAGGGGTCTTGATACAGCAAATGAAGAGTAAGAGTTTCTGCTGGATTAAAGGTCAATCAGCAGGAGACAGATTTAACATGATTTGGTAAAAAAAAATCTAGAAAAACCTTTGGTTACACTGGAGTTATTGAGATCTGGAATGCGTGGTCTGAAACGGTGAAGAAGTAGCTTCCACAATAAGGGCAAAAAAAAACCAAAGAACCGCAGATGCTGGATATCAGAACCAAAAACAGAAATAATTAGGAAAACTCAGAAGCTCTGGTAGCATCTGTGGAGAGAGAAAGCAGAGTTAAAGTTTGAGGTCCAGTTTGGAAGAAGGGTCACCAGACATAAATGTTAGCTCTGCTTTCTTTCCACAGATGCTGACAAACCTGTCTGTGTTTTTGTTCCACAATAAGGAAATTGGATAAATATTTAGAACATGAGAATTAGGAGCTGGAGCAGACCATTCAGGCCCTTGAGCCCGTTCTGCCATTTGATACAATCATGGCTGGTCTCATCTCAGCCTCAGCTCCACTCTGCTGCCTGCTCTCCATAATCTTTCAAACCATTTAATGTAAAGGGGAAAATCTATGCTGAGTTGTATTTGGAAAAGGTGGACCAAATGGATGGCTAAGTGCACAGCCACCCCGGCTATGATAGGCTGAATGGCCTCCTTCTGTGCTGTAATATGCAGCACCAAGTATACTTGAGTGGGGAATGTCAACCTCCGGAAGCAAGCAAACTACATCTGAACCCCGAGAGGAGCCGGCCTTAGACAGAGCTCAGTGATTCTTGTAGTAGGCTTTGCCAACAGCATTTTGCCAAGGGGCCTGGGTAGAACATGAGGCTGATATAGAACATACAATATGGAAGCAGGCCATTCTGCCCATTGAGTCCAGCCCGACCCTCCAAAGACCATCCCACCCAGCCTCAACCCCCTACCCAATCCCTGTAACCCTGCATTTCCCACCTAGCCTGCACACTATGGCCATTTTAGCATGGCCCAATCACCCTAACCTGCATGTCTTTGGACTGTGGGAGGAAACTGGAGTACCCAGAGGAAACCCACACAGACACAGGGAGAACGTGTAAACTCCACATTGATAGTTACCCAAGGCTGGAATTGAACCCAGACCCCTGACGCTGTGAGGCAGCAGTGTTAACCCCAGAGCCACCGTGCCATGGAGCAAAAGGAAAATATATGGCAGAGTCTGCACTCAGGTCAGGCACAAAGGGAGGGAGTTTGGTTTCTTGGAGTATAGCCATCACTCAAGCTGCGCCAAGAAAGGACTCCTTAACCTAACACGAAAATTGATGTTGATCAATGTTCCTGGGCCGGAGGCTTCATCGCATGATCTCCAACCTCCTTTCATTCCTCCCCCTACTCTCCTTGTGTTTAGCTGTAGGCTGGTGAGGAGCTATGAGGACAAATACACCAGGAAACCAATAGGAAAGTGAACGGTGTCTCTTTGCTTGATTAGATTGAGTCATAGAGTATTTACAGCATGAAAACAGGCCCTTCAGCCCATTGTGTCCATGCTGGTCATTAACCATCCATCTATTCTAACGCCATTTTCCAGCCCTTGGCCTATGCCTTGTATCTATGGTGTTTTAAGTGTTTATTTATACTAAAGAAAGAACAAAGGACAATATGGCACAGGAACAGGCCCTTCAGCCCACCAAACCTGCGCCGTCACATTTTGCCCTTCCATACTATAACTGTCTTCACTTATAGGATCCGTATCTCTCTATTCCCTTCCTCTTCATGTATTCATCCAGGTGCTACTTAAATACCGCTATTGTGTCTGCCTCCACCACCTCCTCTGACAGCACATTGCAGGCACTCACCACCCTTTGTGTGAAAAACTTGCACATCTCTTCTAAACTTCTCCTCTTGCATCTTGAACCTGTATCCCATAGTAATTGACCCTTCCACCCTGGGAAAAACACCTCATACTTTCCACTCTATCCATGCCTTTCACAATCTTATAAACTTATATCAGGTCGCCCCTCAACCTCCTGCGATCCAGTGAAAACAAATCCAGTCTATCCAACATTTCTTCATAGCTAAAATCACCCATACCAGGCAACATCCTGATAAACTTTATCTGTACCCTCTCCTAACCACCCTTATCCTTCTGGTATTGTCGTGACCAGAATTGTACACAACATTCCAAGTGTGGCCAAACTAAAGTTCTATAAAGCTGCAGCATAACTTGCCTATCCTTATACTCATTGCTCCTTCCAATGAAGGCAAGCATGCCATAAGCCTTTTTTACTACCTTGTCTACCTATGATACCTTCTTCAGTGATCTGTGGGACCTGAACACCCAGAACCCCTGCGTAACAATACTCCTAGGGGTTCTGCCATTCACAGTATACCTTCTACCTGAAATTGACATTCCAAAATGCATCACCTCATATTTGTCTGGATTAAACTCCATTCGCCATTTTTCTGCCCATGTCTCCAGCTGATCTGTATCCTACTGTATCCTTTGACAATCCTCCTCACTATCTACAACTCCAAAAATCTTTGTATCATCCACAAACTTACTAATTATACCAGCTACATTTTCCTCCAAATCATTTATGTAGATCATGAACAACAGACGTCCAAGCACTGATCCCTGAGAGCCACCTCTAGTCACAACCCTCCATTCCGAAAAGTATCCTTCCACCACTACTGTCTATCTCCAATGACTAAGCCAGTTCTGC